TACACACATTATGTTACCTTTCGCGTCACGTTTTCCCCCTCTTATATATACCAGCCTACCCTATCTAGTAAATACTAGAGCATTCGCCAAAGTACATGATAGTTCTAGAAACGTTGCGTCACAGTAGTCGTGTGACTCGCTGATCAACAATACGAATTTTACATTTCCTTCACTCATAGTTTGTGCCACCATCAGGGCTTGAGTTGAGGAGGAGGAAACCAGAGCACTGTTCCTGTTGTAAAGAATTGTTGTGAAAATGTTCTTGTTGTTAGAAATTTTTATGAAATGTCCCTGTTGTAGAATGTCCAAGTACATATGTAAATTTAAAGTTATCACAATCTTACCAATTTATATTATTTATGCAGGCCTACTTTGCAACACGTCATTATTCTACATTTGAGTTACTTTTCTGTGTCAACATAGATCGTGACTTTATCAAGTATTCAAAATAAAAGACTCTGGTGGTCCCTGGATATCCCACCTCATAGGGAATGTGAAACTGAGCTCCACTTGATAACTTTACACAACTCAAACCCTGACTGCCATGGATGTATAGCTAATTTTCTTTTTTAACGTAACAAATTAAATGGAAATGTGAATTTGTTTTTATTTAACCTTTAAAATACTTTTCAATATTTTGAAATGTTGAAGTTAGTTACCATTAGCAAGAAACTGTATAAGTTACATATATTTACTGATTATACACTGAAAAACTTTTAATTATTCAATTAATTCATGAAATCCTATTAAATACTCCTCAATCGGAATTGTATTTGCATGTAGCTAAAACATATTAAGTTTATCAGTAACACATAAAACAGCAGAACATGAAATTTAGCAAATATGAAACTACTCTAGTTATAAAACTATGCTGAACAGTAAGAGAAAAAGTAAAAAAGTTTAGCTCTAATTATCGGCCTTATGAGACGAGGAAATCACTTCCTAATTTAATCTTGTTGATTCACTTCTGTGAATGATTTTTGCTGTGGCCTTTTTTGTTATAACTTACGACTATTTATTATATTATAGTATATTGCAGACTTTAAACTCTGGTTATTGAGTAAAACAATTTGCAAGTTAGAAAAGTGGGCATAAACTTGAATCATCTGTAGAACTATTTGTATGAATGTTTTATTTTAAAGGGAAGTTCACTGGTATTACATGATTTTTATTATGAGTTACTCTCCTCCAAAATGCAAACAATTGTCAGAATTTGTTGTGAATAAACTACAATAATTGTAAAACATACAAAGTATTTAAAAATCATTAAAAGGTGCTTAATGATAATTACTTTATCTACTCTTCAGCACAAAATTATGTCTTTTTGTAAGTACCATTAAGATTCTGACAGTAGAACATGTTATTCGGTCGATTTAGTTAATTAATTATAAGAAATATGTATACCGTACCTTTAAGCTTTAGAAAGTAAAATACTAAGTTGTTTTGGATCTAAACTTTTATGTGAGATTAATAATTAATACAAGATCCCAGCTAGACATATTTTGATATATATATATATATATGTAAATTTTAGTTAAAAAGCTAAAATTTGCTGTATTGTTAAGACCATCATATTAAAATTATATACTTATTAATTTGATAAGGTAGTTTCTGTCTTGTTAAGAAAGGAACACTGAATTTTCTTTGATATTTTTTAATATACATGTCATGGTAAACAAGTACATTTTTATTTATATTGGAATATGTAAATAAATATATTTATATACACAGTGTGGTCACAAGTAAATAAACA